ATTGCTAAGGACTCTCATCCGCCCTAAGAGGGTGCGAATAGCGAATTTAGAAATAACAAGAGACAAAGAGGCGAATAATCGTGATAAGATCGTGATATTTATATCATTGAAACGATCACATTATTTCGCATTATTTATTTATATTTATTTATAATATTTATATATTGTTTACACTATTCAATAGATTTTTAATAGCGACAAGATTATTTTATTCTAAACATTATCATTAAAGGTAGTCACTTTCTTTGGCTTCTACAGTTTTGAGCAACGCAAAACGCATCGTACATAGTAACAGAATATTCCCTTCAATATTTCAGAATTTTTTACTAACTTAAGGTAATGATAACAATTTTTTAACTTCAATTTTCTTATTCGGGCAAATTCCTTGCTAAAAGCTAAGATTTTTCAGACATCGATAATAAGGTTTGTGAGTTTACAACCTGCTGCATCTTAAAAATTATATCTGACCTGCATATAAAATAAGCAAAGAGCATAAAACAAAAGAGAATCAAAGTGCCCCCAAGTTTATAATGAGTAAAAAGTTCCATTTAAGTGGGAAATCTTGGTAAGAAAAAAAAAGAAAAGGAAAGACTGGGAGACGCGGGTCCATTAATAACCGCCGATGGCGCCGATAGATCGCGGCGAGAACTCCGTCGGCGAAGAAATAGGAAATGTGTTGCAGCCAAAACGGCAACGAAGTTTTCCATTAATCTACATTAATACCGCGCGAAATCTTGATGGCGCTCACTCGCGCCTGTTGCGTTTAGTAAGGAGCCGGTCTAAGGGCCCTGGTAAACACCCTCATAAGCAATTAAGCCGCTTAGAAACTCCCGCCGTTCATTTATTATCTCTGTACCTTCTAAGCAAGCTCGCAAGCTCGCAAGCACTGATAAACGACGCACCGAGCTAAGAAGCCGTCCTTCAAAGCAGCTCCTTAATTACGCGTTAAGCATCTTGGAGTTGCTTCTCCGCTCGCGCCTCGTTGGCCTTTCAGAAAATAATTGCAATTTAGAGCAATTCCGGAAGTTCTGATGCAGCGAATGATTTGATTGACCTTCTTGCGTAGTCTGAAAATATTGATCGTATAACGTTAGAGAAATTAAGTAAATTAAGGAGAAGAAATCGATCTCTTTAGATTGTATTAATTATTCTTAGATTAGATTATTCTTCGTCAGACACTTGTTTTTTGAAAAATTGAACGCATTTGAAGCGTCGAATTTTCGAAATTCTAATTCTTATTGCTCAAGAATGTCGATGGTCAAGTTTCGAAATGTTTCGTAGCTGTGAATATTCGGAATTTCCGGATTTCACTCGGAAATCGGTGCGAATGTCCAAGACTCTGAATATCCAATACTGTTCATATCTTCAGATATGAACAGTATAGCGCTGCGTCTTGAATTCCCGTCCGGCGTGAGCGAGTGCGTTCGCCCTATCCCGAACCCGATATAACCTGATATAGGTGTGTATATCGATATCGAGATGTCTCCGAGACGGGGACCAGATGAGGAACGTTGCGGCGAAGGGTTGATACAGGACGGTCCGAAGTTTGCCGACAGCTGGGCGGCGAGGAGGGAGAGGGCGGGGGAGAAGACGAGGGATGACCGGCGGACAATGGGGTGCGTCGCCGATGACGAACTCAGCCTGCTTCCAATCCCCGGAGTCGCTCGGGGGTTGCTGGAACAGCCCGCAAACAAGGGGGGTGGGCGAGTCAGCATTTCCACCATCGACCCCACCACCATCACCACCGCCACCGCCACCATCGCCGCCCGGTTATGTTCCAAACGGTTTACGCATTCTCGAGCGACAGGGGAAGAGGAGGGGGGAGGGGAGGGGGGGAGTGCGAAGCGCACCGGATATTTCTGCTTACGATTATACCGCGTGTTTCGCGATGTTCGATATTCGGCGCTTTAATAATACGCTGCTACTTGCGGGGGTGCTTAAAACGCGGAATATGTTTGCACGGGGAAAATTCCGACGCAGGCTCTCTTCCCGCGAAATGAAAGTAACGAATATAATTATATATATGAATGCACGTACGGGATAATATTTGAAAACAGAGATAAAATATTATTGAATAATTTTTATCAATTATAAAAATATAAAAGCCTTAGGATAACTATGGAAATGTAATATTTATTTAACATTCCGTGGAGATTTACTTAATCTGCAACTTGATCTGTATTTCGATATTTTTTGCATATTCAAATTGGTTATATTTAAAGGATTGACGAAGACAGATTTCCTACAAATTAGGAATTTTAATGATTAATAAATAAAAATAAAAAAAATTCGTAAAAGTTTTGCAAGAAATGTTTTTCCAACCTACGTAAGGGTCTGTTTGCGGGACATTAAAAAGAAGTGACGGAAATGATTAAGCGATAATTGAAATTGACAAACGTGGGAAACTGCAGTTGAATCTTCCGTGCCGTTAAATTTCCATGCGGACTTTGTCCCCGCGGTGAAAAATAGAAAAGAAGAAACAGCTACAAGGGAAATCGTGTTTTCCTTTTTTTTGCTTTTCTTCTTTTCTCTTTTTTTTTTTTTTGGTTCACGTATATGTCTCGCTGGAGGCTGCAACGAAACATACGCGAAAAATGGCGGCGACAGCTGTCGACGTGCGAGTTTCGATGTCGTCTGTAAAATTCTGTATCGTAAAACTCGGATATGAAGCACGGTCCTCGCGGCGAAATTATTGCCAGGCGAAAACCGTGAACCGGACACACTCCGCTATTATATTATTCCGTTGTGATATTTCTTTTATTTTTTTATACTGGTAATTATGATAAATACAACATGATAACGTGTATGCGCGGATGATAAATACGGCATGTATAATTATGAATAATGAAGTGGACGATGCCACTTTTACGTTTTCGTTCCTGAAGTTTGAATCATGACTTTTTAAATATGATAAAGGAATAATATTGGGCTCGCGCTGGGAATAAACGATGCGCAAATTACCTCTAAATTTTTAATGGCTCGTAAAGATGAAATATGTAAATATACGGAAGGGTACGTTTCGGCTTACATTTTCTGCCGTCATCGGCAGAGGAGGGCAAACCACTAAGAATACTTTTCGCATTTATTGCGCGCGTGATCTTATTTTTTTAAATTTCGATTGTTCGTGACTCGGAAGCTTTGAAGTAGGAAATTTCAGTTTCAAATTAATGAAATAATATGCTCTTATAAATTTCTTTTAACTTTAACTTAAATTTTTTTCTTTAACTAAATTTCTTTTTGGCGCACACACACACACACACACAGAATTTAACGGAAAGATATAAACTAACTCAATTATCGCGGGGAAAGAAAATACACCGGATAAGTTAACCTCAGTTAGAAAACTGCGATGGAAAAAAAGGGGAAGTATCATGTGTATAATTTTTTGTAAATAAAATTTCTCGCCCCAAAGAATGGCGTGTTCAGTGGCATGAAACAATAAATAAAGGCCACCCTCCGGAAACGAGCGTTCTGCTTGAGGTCGGTGGACGAGAACGGCAGGGAAGGGAGGGGGTGGTGAGGACGGGGAAGAGAGGGAGGCGGAAGAGGTGAAACGAGCTTCAAGAGTGCCATAATTTACGCTCCACTCGTTTCTTCCTCGTGTATACCTAACGTGTACGAATGAAGCATAAATTCACTCTCTGTACCCTCTCATCCCCTCGCCGTCCCTTGTATTTGCGATCTACCGCCGTGAGAGGAAACTTAACGTTTAGCCACGCGAAACAGGCCGGGAATTTTCCGTTTTGGCAACTTTAATTGAGGCCCCCGACCGGCGAGGCTTAATTCTCTCGCGGCCGGAGAGGTTTCTCTCGTGAAACGGAAATTAAATTACGACATTATATTAACCCTTTCGCATCTCACTCATGTCAGACTTGTTTCGCCAAGTGTATTCTGAATTTTTGAAGGCTAACTGAAAGTCCCCGAAAATGTCATAAATGACGTTCGTATAAATATGTTTGTAAGTAACGTACGCTGGTACATGCAACTGAACGTTTGTGAAATTTTCAGGGAGGATTTAAATCTCAATGTGAGATAAAGATTACATTTTAAGAATTTAAATGTACTTCTGCAGAGATGTTTGGATTAATCTCGGGACCCCTCGCATGTCGTAGCGCTTCCCAGGGGGGAATCAGTAGAATTTTTGCCCAGGCTCTAATGAAACAACAAACGCATTTCGGGCTCGATTCTTCGTAATAGAGGGGAGGGCAGGAGGTTGAAAACGAAGAGGGATGCTCGCGGCGGGAAGGCACGACCCGTAAAACTACCCTACGGGGCGCTCCCTCCTGCAAGTCGCTTTCGTCCGGAGATACAGCATGTATACGGTTCCTTGTCTAACCAGTCGCCCTTTCCTCTCCTCCGTCACTCACCCATCCTCTTCTCTCCCTTTTTTCGTCCTTCAAGTCCGTTAGGTAGCGTACAAGTCCCGCTATTTACGAGGGATTTGCCCGCGAGGGTGGAACACACAATTTCCACCGATATATACCACTGCCCTCCCCCCTCCCCCTCCCCTTACCCGCTTTACCACCGCTCGTCTTTCCCGCCACTTCTTTCCCGGATCGTCCCAATTTTTCTACCCCATAACCTCTAACGAGAGCCAGCCTCGGCTGGAGGGTCGTTTTTCATTGATAACCGTGAGTGGCTCGTTCGGCCTTTTTATTATATTGGCGCGATCGCTCGTTCGGCAAGTGAATCTCGCTCATGTCTCTCGTATCGAGTACAGGGGAAGAAACGCGTGAACATGTTTTTTTTTAGTTTTCTCTCTGCAATTTATCCATCAGATAGTTTGATAGCCAGTTTGCCTGCGTTGAATCCGCAACACAATGTGTCAACACAAAATAAATAAAATATCCATCTAAAGATATCATGAGATTTCTTGACATTAATTTTTATACATTGGTGAAAAATTTAATTTATACTTAAACAGATACTAATGTAAATTAATGGATCGATTTGTACATTGACGTCAATCTGAAATCATAATTAACAATCTGTCTTTTCAGGAGCTGCGGCGGCGTCGCGAGTTTATGTCGACGCTTTGTCCCGATTAGCCCGTCAGGCGCAGTTAGGAACATGGGGCGGTTCGAAGGATGTGGGTAAGTACGAAACTTCAAATTGATCAATTTCAATCGGAGAACACGAGACAAAACTCTTTACGTTTTATTCGGAGTCATCTGGTTGAAGTTCGGATTGTTCCTCTGATTTTTTAAAAATGATTTGTCTCATTTCCAGCTTTGCATAGAGTAACTTATAAGTGCCACAGCTTTTTAAGCGAGAAAATGATTTATCGAGCATAAGGGTGCTTCCCGACGCGTGCATTCGATCGGAATATTTTTTATTTTGTGTCTGAGTTACTTTGTGCAAAAGTAGAAATGGACCAAATCATTTTTGGCAAAGCTTGAATTTTTTAAGTGACCGGGAGGGTAGTTTATCGAGCATAAGGGTGCTTTCCGTCGCGTGTATTTGATCGAAATACTTTGTATTGTGTTTGTGGCATTTGTGCGTTACTCTATACGAAGCTAGAACAATGGGACAAATTATTTTTAAAAAACCGCTCTAGGAATGTTCCAAACTTCAACCAGCTTTCGAGATCAAGAAAAAAAGAGCACTACTATAGATAAAGAAGCGATGAGAGGAAAACGAATTATCAATGTATCTGCGCATAAGAGCTTTCGCGATTTGTCACGAGACCGAAGACCTACCGCAAATCTCAAATAATTAAGAATGAAATTTGGATAGAAAATCTGGTTTCTTCACACTCTTTTAAAAACTTATATATATATATGTATATATATAGCATGTATTTGATCGAAATATTTTCTTACAAAAACAAATTTTTTTTGTAATGTGGCATATATTTTCTAAGTTATTCCGAGCAGTTGATCGAATCTGGCTCGAACTTGCGTCCGATTCATTTCGTCGAAACAGGGCAAACAAATAAAGCAGTTCTCGTCCTTTCGAGAGCCGAAGTTTGCATTGCTCCGGAACGAGGTGAGCTTTTCCGAGGCTTCCAAAGCCAATAAAGCGTGTTTAACCGTCTCTAAGCTCGAAAGCTCCTCTTCCCTCCCTGTCTTCTTCTTCCCCTCCGTCCGTCTATCCATCTCCAGACGCCGATGAACGAAAGTTGCTAACAAGATCATTGCAGCGTGATAAGTGTACGTATTAAGCTCAGGTCGGCGACCCGCGCGTACGCGGAGCTTGCGAGCCTCTTAAAGCGGGCTAAGGTACAGACTTAGGAAGCTTTCCAAGTGCCAACGACCGAGCAAAGTTTTTATTTGTTCGGGCAGGTTGGGGGGGGGGGTGGAAGCACGGAATCCGATCAGGGCGGATTTCACACCAGGATTCCGCCGTTTCGTCGGATTGATTTTTGGATCTGTCGATTTTGATCATTACTTACCGTGTAAAATGATAGTTTTTTTTCCTACGAGGTATATGTGTTATTTTTATATTAAGTGTTTCATTATATTTTCATATTAAAATATTTTTAATTATCTGTGTAAAACGTTTATACTAGGATATCTGTTCTTTATTTAATTTTAACGCACTATTATACGCGTTAAAATCGGGTCCTGACTGACACCGAGAATTGGCTGCAGTTGTCCTTCGCGTTAACAATTACCGGCAAATATGTAGCGACCGTTTCAGCAAAGATAATTTTCAACGAGATAATTTACGACGAATTGCAACTGTGATAATAACGCGTTAGGGTGTATGAGAGACAGGAAAGAGAGAGAGAGAGAGAGAGCGAGAGAAAGAGAGAAAGAGAGAAGGGAGGAAAGAGAAAGAGAGAAGAGTAGAGACTATCATCGATTCGGAAATGGGACGTTCAATTAATCGAATTAATAAATTCACCGATCGAGTTATTTGCAATTTTGCATACTACTCGCGCACGCGCGCGCGCGAGCGAGGATGCTGCAACCTCCTGCTCCCCTCCTCCTCCCGTTGTTTCGAGCATAATTAATTAGCGCGTCCTGGAATTAGCTATTTTATTTTACAAATAACGTCACGCGCGTCCCGCGACGTAGAAATTGTTGTTTATCGCGCTCTCGCAGTCTGCTGCAATTTATTGTGTAATTGCTCGAGTGTGTCGTCCGTGCTGATATTAATTATATTATTCTTCGAAACTTCCTTCGATCATTTATTCGGCGATTCGCGCGTAAAATTAATTGCCATATTTTGTCGGAGGCATATATAATTTCGGAGGCAAATTTTGTCAACGTAAACAATAATTAAGAGCGTGAAATACTTTAAAAACGTGTATTAATGTTTGCCATTATTGTTATAAATTAAATAGAGAATATATTCGGGAAATAAAACGCGACGCGTGAAATATGAGATAAAAATACATCACACGAATATCATAGAGTTATCAATAATTATTTCAAACAAAAGCATTGTGCGCAAAATCACATTTACATAAATCCGTTAATAATTAACACGAAATTCCGTATAACTTTCAATAATTAATTTACATAATCAATGTAATTTTGATGTGCCGCTCGATTCACTCGCAATAGCCACAGTTCTCGCGACAATTCCTCGTGTATATAAAGTAAAAGTAAAAATCTCGCGAAACGTCTAGTGCAGTCCAGTTTGTTCGAGATGTCGATTGCCTTCGCGAAATATGATGAATTTGTGATTTAAATTTATAATATTTTACTTCGAGCTTTTGTAGAAGCGGAACAGCGTCGCGCCCTTTGATACGAATTGTATCCTAAAATACCCGGATTAAAACACAATGAACTCGCGTTATTCACGTAATGAACCGATAGATGAAGCACGCGGGGGCGGGCGGGAAGAAGGGAGGAAAGGGGGCAGGGGGAAGAGAAGAATTAAATACGCCATAAAACGATCGGCTGTAAGATTAATAGTCGGCGTTTTTCGGCGCCGCGCCGCGCGGGACGCGGAGAATCGGCGGATTAAAATTCTACGGCGCGGCGGCCGCGGCGGCGTCGACGCGCTTTAATAATAATGTAAACGCGCAACGAATGGGAATTAACGCGCGCGCGCTCGCCCCGCGCTGTGAAACAGGAGGAGGGAAGAGGGTGCGGAGGACAGACGGCCGCTCTGAAATCCGGCCCCTAAACCCCCTTTTCCTCCTCCCCCCCGTCCCTCCGCCCCGCTTGGCGCACTAACCAATATGCGAGAGGAAGGAGCGAAGAGGATGACACACGCATAATTGCATAAAATTATCGAGGTCCGAATTATATATGTATCGGCATCGTGCTTTTTTTGTTTTGTGTTAAACGCACGCATCGATAAATATAATCGCGTGATTTTGGCCGGTTTTTATTAAAATCCGCGAGATTTTGCGAACACCCCTTGTACCGTGAAGAATAGGAGATGAATTTCGGTGTTTTTCAAAGTTTGTCGGTTATGGCGATGAAAAAGATTCTAATCTTGAATGAACGTATTAATAACAATTTATTCTTCGCTCCTTTATTCCGAGCTCCTTTATTTAGCTAAAGGGAGACACGACTTACCCTTATAGAAACTTGGAAGAGCCAAATAATCATTTATTTTTAGTATTAAAGACGCGAATAGTATCTTCAATATTGAAATAATTATTTCACCTTTCCAGTAGTTAAATTTCTGGGCACTTTACGCTTTAGGCTGCGCGGGGAGATTATTAACGAAACGGAAGATATTTTGATCGATTCACCACCGGCCGTTTGAAGCGTGTAACTCGCCCTCCAATTCTACGTATGCAGATATATCCGGCTGCGCTTTGCACTTATCATCCGGCTTTTCGCACGCCCGGCGGTCGAGAGGCGCACTTGCTGCAACTTTAATTCCGCCGCCGGCGAGGAGTCTTCGCTTCTACGAGAGTAGAGGCAGTAAGGAGTGCTCCGCAAACAGCGAGTCGTACAAACATCTCGTTAAACATTTTCTTACGTCTCTCCGTACAATGCACATTTAATAACGAACGCATCTTGTATTTCCGCGAAGTTCTACCTGAAGAAAAATTCGCGATGTCTCTATTTAGGCGAGACCTATTTCGATATATAATCTGACGCAGAATTTACAATAAATATAGAAGTAAATAAAATTTCGTCTTCAATATCGAAATTTTGTCGCGCTAAATTTAATCTGAATCGTCGTTAAGGATGACTGACAATAACGGGAAAAAAAAATGAAAACAATTTAATGCCATTTAAAATTCTACGTTTAATGTTCACAATTATGTCAAAAATGTCTCGTGAAATTGTGAGCTATTTTACACACCGTCAACCGTGAGGTAAAAATTTTAATAAAAAATGTCTGCCCGCGAGAAACTTTTAGGCGTACATTTTCAAATGTGTGTACAACGTCGAATTTCTTCACGCATCCCTCGAAATCCTCACTCGCGCGAAATTTCTGTATTCCGCGTAGAAGCGGCGGGAAGGAGCGCCGCCGCGGAAACGCATCGGTCTCGATCTTCACGCGATTATGTCTATGGAAATTCGTGCAGGAAGCACGAGCGACACTCGGGGAAATCTGTTTTCACTATCCCCCGCCCGCCCTTCCCCGCGCCTACTCCCGTCGCGTCGTCCCCTTTCCCTAAACCGCCCTTCCGTCCTTACAGCCGCGAGGGGGAGCCGCGAAAATTCGTAGCTCACGATGTTAGCGCGAGGCGAAATGAAAATGCGACAGCGAAATTGCCAATATCGTCACCCCAGATTTTCCTTGCTCCAGCCCACTTTCCGCTCCCTCTCGCTCTTTCGTCAGTGGAACCGGATCGAGGCCGATTCGGCCGAGTCTCTTCGCCATGTAAGTTCACTTCTCACCAGCCACAACGAGAACAGCGATAAAATTGTTACTTCAGGATATAATTAAACTTTAACAATTACATATTGTATATATTTTAGTATATTTATACACGATAAAATGATGTATAACATCACTGATCGAAAGCATATAATCTTGTAAAGTCAACGACAATATTAAAATGAAACAAACGCGTCATGCTCTTGCTTTAACAAAATGTTATTTGTTTCATTAATACTGTTATTGAATAAACAAGATTATTTTCAATTAGACTGCCGTTGGTGTAAATACTGTTAACATGCACATCATTTTTTCCCGTGTTTTTAAAGTGTATATTCAAGATATTTAT